ATGTGAGACATGGGGATGGGCTCCATGTGTTTAAAATATTGTTCAAAAATACCACCCACCGTCATATTGTGTGTATTTTGTAGATATAGAGAGGCACAATGTGACACTTCTAATAGAAAAGTGAAATAATTACACATTGTTGGTACTATTACAAGGTCAACTTAGCCCTTGTTTGGCCTCCATTAATTTTGATTATAATGGGGGAATATTGTTTTTTTTTTTCCGAAGAATTGATGGTTGTAAAAGAATGAATTTTTTTTTATTTACGTGTAATATTATTTTATTGAAAATTATGTAGTTAAAAATAAGAGAGAGAAAATTCTAATTTAATTTGATTGAGATGTAATGAGGGCCAAACGGAAGATTATTTATAAGCATTTGGGGGCGCCAAATTGGATTTAAAAGTGGGTTTTACCAAGTAGTTGCCCATTGAAAATGAAGAGTAGTTGGCTTTTTTCGCGAGGAATTGACTCATGCCAAAGTATAAGATTTTTGAATGAGGTAAATGCAAAAGATTCAATTATATCGAAAAACCTAAGAAAGAATAAGAGAGCATGTGTCTTGAAATGTACTTACTACTTAAATACTGCCCGAAGTAATGTGTTATCTATTGCTTCAAAGCCATTTTTCTCTATTCCACTGAATGCTGCTTTAGAAATACATAACACAGAAATCCCCAAGAACTATCATTCTCAACTTGCCTGAAGTTCACTTATCTATGAAGTAGAATGTACTTCCACAAAAAGGTAAATTCTAAAGTTACTTGTAAGCACAGCTGATTGTGCTCCTAGTCTTTTTCTCTGATGGAAGTACGAGCAGCACTCTTGGAAACTAGCTGATCTCTCATTTCTTTGTAAGCCTTGAGTTCCTCGAGTGCATCAGTTGTATCTCGAGGCTTGAAAAATTCAGAAGCAGTTCCAACTTCTCTCTCGACTTCATTCTCAGAGGATTGACTGGTATAAGAACTAGTTGGGCGCAGAGGAGGAGCTGTTCTTAGCATGTGAACAAGGACACCGACAGCTGCATCTTGAGATCTTTTGGCAGTAGAGGATGCTTGGGACGAATCTTCGGACTTATTTTTCCCATCAAGATTCTGGCTGTAAAACAGAAGCACCAGAAAAATAGTAACATAAAAGTAAGAAAGCGTATCAAGTTGGTTTCTAACAAATTAGGGAAAACTGTACCATTGGTACCAAGCCTATTGCCTGAGCAGCAAGTTGGTTTCCAATATAAAAGTTGGTCCCGAACCTTTCATTATTATTACATACTCGGTCACAAACAAAGCAAGTGGTCCAAATCTTCGACAATTGGTAACATGGCTCACATGAAAACATGCCCACTTTAAATTTGGGACAGTAGCCCACATTAGAAAGAAAATAGAGCTTCATAACATTTGAGGGCCACATGACAATTTAATAGAAATTTTGGATTGTTTCCATCATTAGGGACTCGTCGTGCAACGGCAATAAAAAGTTGACGACCAACTTGCTACTTGGACAACAGTTTGAAAACCAAAAACAAAATGTTATACACAAAATGAGAATACAAAAAAGAAATGCAACAGAAGAGCCAGCCGACACAACATCTCATCTTTTAGAAAAAAAATTCGAAGAACTGAGACCAACTCAGATTGGTATTCGCCACTTGATAAAGCAAGAGGCAGAATGCAATTTTAGATCGAGTTTTACTGCGGTGTGATGGACGAATGGGATTTGATTAATACAATTTATCCCAAATTACTTCCACTCTACAATCAATTCCCAACTGCATAGGCACTCTATGCAGAAAAGTGGCTTTAGATTGTTCAAGTAGCAGCACAAATCGTATTTGACACCACTTGCATTTCCAAAGATCAGTCAATAACTGGCAATTGAATTGAAAAAAAAATAAATAAATAATAATAAATAAATAAATAGAGACTAAATCAAATTTAGGATTGCAGTGATGGCAACAGAAACTGAAGTATAAAATGGAAGTAAATGTCGGAAAGTAATTAAGGCGACGCATAAGCCCATTCCAACACCAGAAGATAAATGCATTCAACAACAATAAACTCATCAAATCATTAAATAAAGAAACAGATGGCAAAAATCACGGCCGTCACCTATGGAAGTTCTTAAAAAAGTGAATAATCAAAAGCAAGTAGAACAAGGTGATAACAAAATCGATAAATTATAATCCTCAAAATTCAATCATACCACAACTATTCCAATTTCAAAAGTTCTAGGATTTAACTAATATTTTTTCACTGTATTATCAAGTCTAATTTGTTTGGCTGATTCAAGCTAATATTCATTAGGATTTCACACCAAGGCTCAAGAAACTCCGCGGAATAAAAAATAAAATTAAAATAAATTAAAATAAAAAAATAAAAGAAAGAAAGAAAGAAAAGGCAGAGGAAAATTAGCACAGGTTCTATTGATTTTATACAATCTGGAAAATCTCAAAACCCTAGCCTATATTAACATTGTTGCCAACTCTTGTTTTAATGAACTGAAAGTAACTATATACCATGTACCTTAGTTGAACAAGATATTTTTCTATTTCAGCATCAATCAAGGTACAACTGGTATTAATTTGCTCCATAAAATCTTCAAAGAAGGTAGCCAATTTTGGGGATGGGGGAGGCGGTGGGGGAATACTTTACTTTTAAGGATGTACTGCAAAGTCACTCTACTAAAAACTTGATAGTACCAAAAAAGTGTGCTACGTGTACATCGTATGTATGATTACCTGGATTGGAAATCAGGAGGGTCGACGTCATCAACAATAAATGGGTAGGTGAAATCACCATCGCCAAAATCATCCTGGAAAGACAATCTGCTGGAGCTTCTCGAGAATCCAACGCGTGGAGAACTACTTGAAGATAAAGGACCTGAAAACCGTCCAGAATCTTCTTTGGAATCTCTTGATACCTAGGATATAAGTACAAAATGTGAACAATATAGCACATTTATTAAGCATACAACTAGTCAAAAATAATGAGAAATTAAAAGAATCCAATCTCAAAAAGAGCCTACCCTTGGACCAAGGTTTGTTAGCCCAGGACTTGGCTCTCCAGTCCTCAGTGAATCTGATTTCCTTATTGATCTAATTCCAGATGAGGACTCCTGGGACGAAGGATCATTTTTTGTGCTCCTAGGAGATAAAGGCGGAAGAGAATGCCTGTTTGGATCTGACAGATTAGGAGAAAGATATCTTGGACTTCTTCCCATCATCGGATGTGGAATACTCATGGGAGGAGTTTCTGAACGCATACGACTATGCAGGGGATTCCCGCTATAAAGGTATGTAGGGGGAGATGGGGAAGGAGAAGGTGAAAAAGGAGGAGATAGTAAATCATCAATTGCTGCTTTCTGACAAGCTGGTGATCTTTGGTTTTGGAACCTATGTCCATATAGGTCAGTAGGCGAAGATGAGTGCTCATATGGTGACCGGTATAGAGGAGGAGATCCACTATATGGTTGATTCTTTTGTGAAGCGTCCTCATGGATCCCACTTGCCCAGCTGTGCCGACGTAGCAACGCGGATGAAGAAGTCGGTTGACTCCCTGTTATGGGGAAGGACGTAGCACGAACACCCTTCTCAGACAAATAAGTAGGGAATGGTCTGATAGGCTCGGTAAGTGGGCTGCCAACATAATCTGTAATGATCTCTGAGGGAAAAGATACAAAGGCATCCTGGATGAAATCAGACAAATCTTTACGATACGTCAAAGATACAGAAAGGGCACCTTGTTTGGTGTCAATTGGAATGAAATTATGTCTCTTCATCAACTCGTCCTCCTCCCTTGAAAACGGAACAGCATATGTACAGACCTTGTAATTGATATCAAAAACACAATTCTGGCTTGAACCTCGTTTACGAAAAGCCTTATATGCCGGAAGGAGTCTCAACATTGAATAAATGGAGCGTAAGAGTAATATTGATTTCTTGTATGTCTTCTTGTAAGAGGCTTCGCTGATTGAATGACCTACTGACCTTCGATGCTCGTGCTGAACAACCCACCTCTCTATGACTGTGTCTGTTACCATCTCCGACCCTAAAGTAGTAATTGAACTATGCTCCAATGAAGACTTTAGTGATTCTTGAACGAGTATAATATCAATAACCATGGGTTCCATAAAACTTCGATTCCAGAAACTCAAGTTATCCATGGCTGAAGGACGATCTCCTAATACCAAATTGAACCATTTATCACTCTTTTTTACTTCCCCATAGCGACTAGATGGCCGAATGGCAGGAACCCTCGAATCCAATATCACGTGTAAGCTTTTCAAGAAAAACTGATTAAGTATTTGTTCCAACCTCCCATTTTCCCCTCGAGGATAACTGTGCAAATCCATTTCTTTAAGCAAAATTATACTTTACATCAATTTTGAACTATATAATAAATCTGGGCATCCAACTCTTTTCCACAATTGGGAATCTTACCCAAATCTTGATTTTCAAAGCAAAACAATTCCAGGCTTGTCCCCTACCTTTTCTCTTTCATCTACTGTTTTTCTTTGTACAAAACTGGTAATCTACCTAACAAAAGGTCCTTAAAAAAACCCATGTATATACACCTGAAAATACGCCCAGAAAAATATAATTAAAGCAAGAAAATTGCCTTAACAAGATCATAATTAGTGATGCGGTTACAACGCACAAAATATGAATTATGCTATATTTATGATTTCATGAAACACAACATACTATAATATACGCGATATTTTCAAGAAATATGCATGTTAAAATTGACCGGACCAAAAAAACAAAAAAAAAAACAAAAAACAAAAAAAAAAAAACAAAAAAAAAACC